TGCAATTAGACTAATGTAAGATAAATATAAGTAAAGCAGTATAACTTTCTGTTGCTATGAGCGCTCTTTTTAGATTCTGGCTCCAGGGCTATGTCGCTGTTCCTAATAACGCGAAATCCCGGATAAGAGATTTTATAATTTTTGTTTAATACGTTTGCATCAATCAAATATGAAGATGATTTTGATGAATAATCTGCTATTCTTGTTCTCACAAAAAATCTATAATGTTCTCCCCTCCCCCATGTCTATCTTAGCAAATAGATATCTCTTACATTTAAATTCTTTTTGTGGTTTCAGAATGACGGTTGTGCTTGCTGTTTAAAGTTAAAGATAGAAAAAAAAATATACAATCAAATCATGACATACTAAGCTACTATATATATATAAAAATAACTTGATTATTGCGTAGTATGACCTTTCCCAATATCTATCCCTGTATTATCGCCCGGGATTTTTTTTAACAGCTAGTTGATGATAAAATAACGCTACGCCGCAGTAATATTCGAGACAGCTAGACCACATCCGTGTATGTGATGACCTTACAAATGTGAGTATATTTTTGTTGAGGCCGACCTTGCCCAAGTCATCGCGCTGGTTAGTCGACCGGATTTCTACCTGTCCTCCTCTGTAGGATCGCCTTGAATCCAGCATTTCTGAGAATGGTGCGTATATCAACGAATGTAATGTGTCATAGTAACAGATCAAAGTACAGTTGAACATTGTCGAGATCCACGAAATTTGAATATAAAACTGATTATCCAGAACTTTTTTTTTTTATCTAAATTTTATTCTGGATGTACCTTCTTCTGTAGTGGCTTACATTCGTTATTCTTATTAATTTTTAAAAAATTTAATAAATTTCTTATTTTGTAAAGCCAGTCTTTAATTGTGAAATCATGGGCGTCCGTCGTTTTATTAGGAAGGAAAGGGACCGTAATATTTTTGAAATTTGTCTTTAGAAGTGTCTTTATAGAGTACAATTTTACAAACCCTAGAGTTATCATTGAATTTGATTCTAAAATTTCATTATTTATTGACAGTAACAACTAAACATCGACTAATTGGCCCTTGCGAATAATGCGCATTGAATATTGGCCAGTGAACAACTGGCAATATAATATATAATAAATAAGTTAATGATATGTATTATGAGATAGCGGAATAATTTTACAGTCGAATCACATTAGTTCATTCAAACTAACAACTCCAAACATGTGTCCAATACTATTGGCTGTATATTTGTAAATTATAGTCCAATTAAATTTTTTTTTTTCGTTCTGTAAACAATTTAGTAAATTTTCAAATAATGATGTATCTAATACAGAAGAAAAGGTACACTCTTTAATTAATTCGCAAATAAAGTTTATTTTATTCATAACTTTTTTACCTGAAATTTCGGTTGTATGTTATGATTCCTCACTGCTCCATTTAATAATCTTTCGTTCGATACCTTATTCATCAAAATCCATCGCTCCATCGAGCCGGAAAAGGGATGGTTACTATCTTATTATATTATAAAAATAGATTATATTTCTTATCAAAAACAAATGCCAATTACAGAGATGTATTAGCATTAATGAATTGAAAAATTATAAATACATGTTTATGTAGAAGGTGAAAGAAAATTTGAAGTACATTTATCATGAATGTATTGAATCGCTCAATATAACAATAGTAATGAAATCATAATTAAATTAATTCAAATTGATTTGAATCAATTTTTTTAAAATTTATTTAGAAATATAATAATCTGTCACTTGGACAATAATTATAGTGATATATGAACACATTCACACCGTATATCCAGAAAATATAAAATTAACAAAAATAAAATAACTAAACAATAATCAAAAACTATGTACAATAAAAAAATAAAATAACTTAAAGATAAGTAAATTAAAAACGTAAAAACACAGTCACATCTATATACAATATGTACAATCAAGCAGGAATCCCAAATCCCTGCGCTAATCTCTCAACCGCGTCACTGGTGCTAAAGTCAGTGGAGTTTGAGCGAGAGCGCTTTAGCCACATAAACTCATGTCTTGAGTGGAGAATCTGGCCATGATATATACTACGAAAGATCTCTGGGCCACTGCCTCTTCAACCTTCGAGGAGGATTGTAGAAATGAGTGGAACTAGATAGAGATTGTGCTAAAGGATTTGGATGATTTATAAGGTTCTGATGGAATTTGAAAAAAATTTCAGAGATAAGGTCAAGGACAAATGGGATATTAAGGCCATGATGTAGGGTTTTGTTGGTTACATAGAACGGAGCATTGACTATTGTTCGGAGGACTGAATCAGTTAAAATTGATTAAAACCTACTAATTAATTTACGTTTTCAATACAAACCAAAAAAGAAAAGAAATGGAAACTCATGAACTGTTTCATAAGATACATCTTTGGGATCTCCAAGCGTTCCCATGTTACATTCTGGTATACCAAGTTGAAGTAGCTTTATCCTACTTCCCGACGAAAATTCCTCCTTGGTGTTCGCCTTTTCCAAGTCCTTAGAACCCAAAATCCTCCCTACATCCTGGAACTCCTTACTCTACGTCCCTCTATTCACTTTCTCAATACCGGGCGTCAATATAAAGATTTATATATCCCCTCCCATAAACCTGCTTCTTTCTGCAAACCCTACATCATCGTGCTACCTCTTTTTGGAACTCTCTACCTAATTCCTCAAGTCAATCCTCGTCCATGAATTCCCTCAGAGAACTCCTGTTCCACCACCCACTCCATATTCAAATTTCCGTAAACATGTAAAATTTACTTGCGTCTATACTGTTAAATTCAATCAACTGTACAATTGCGATAACAATCAACAGTTAATTAGGCATAATTTCGTATTCATCTAAGCCAGACTAATGTTGTTAATTATGTAACTTTGTTGTTATTCGTAGGCGACTGCAGTCCCAGAATAATTTTTTTTTTCATTTATTTCAAGATGCATTCATTCATCATTCATTCCTCTAACAAATATAATACTATAATGTATTAATGATTATGCTATTCGCACGGGGTTTAGAGTAAATAACGATACCAGTAATTGATAGGCTGCCAGTATTTGACATTCTCGGAACTAATTTTGTCTAATAGCCTCTTGGAACATGTCGGAGCATCCTAAGATCGTGCGGTGACCCATTAAGTTAACTCACATCACAGGATATTCTAAGATGTTCCAAAGTGTTATTAGGCAAATTAGTTCTAAGCGTGTCAATTACTTTACTATATGTATATATATATATATATATATATATATATATATATATATATATATATACACATACATATATTTCCACATGTGTTAAAAAATATTATTTTCATATCCCAACACAAATAACTTTAGCTATATTAGATGCAAATCCAATCCTATAGAAATTATTGGAAAAAAGAAATTTATGGTTTAAAATATATTACATATATTTTTTATGTAGTAATATATGTCAGATATGGGATCTGCGAAGAAGAAATGAAGGAGCCGGGAAGGGAGGCGATGAAAAGAGTACTAAGGCGAATATAAATCTTGGATACTGACAGAGAGGTTTATGCTCGGTGACTGGCGCGGAGCCTACACAGGGACGTGCCTTGTAAACAGATCTCTGACTCATCCTCAGATAGCCTCCTTTTCACTTATACTGGGCTCCTTCTTCTTCTTGCCACCGTTGACAGATACTATCTACAGCGTATCCTCTGTACTCCGCTTGTACAGATCAACGGCCTCAAATCGGATCTCATGGAGGGAGATGAAGTGTAGAGGAAGTGGGAACCTCTGAATCCGAGGACAAGGTTTTAGCTTGGATTGTACCTTCACGATAATTATCCCTCAAAAGGATGAAGGTGATATGCATAAGCGCAGACTTTCCATTCTCGTTGCCGGCGAAGATCTCCTCCCTCCAAAAAAGTTTATATTATTATTAAAATTATGAGTGATAATTAAAATAATTATTGTAAAATGAACAATAAAGTACTACCAAAAGATGGAGTAACTTTAGGACATGGTGGGCAACTTTGGGTCAGCGGATAAAATTTAGTTTGTGGTGGATACACTGTGTTGGTTCAGTCTGCAAAAACGTGCATTGTGTAGGCATGTGCTACTACCTTGCGGCAGTTTGAGAACCCTAGTTCACTACACTCGCTGTGCAGTTAGATTTTATTTATTTCCATCGCTTCTTTCAAAATTCTTGTTTTCTTGAAACTTTCGCTTGTGCCTCAAGAGTAGTGTACAGCAAGGTAGGAGCGCAGTACATGCCTCTACACAAAGCACGCTTTTGCAGACTGAACCAACACAGTGTATCCACCACGGAATCATCGCTAGCTAAATTTTACCCGATGTCCCTAAGTTATCTACCCTGTCCCACAGTCATCCCATCTTACGGTATTTATTTAAAAATAAATTTATGTATAAGTTTATATATTAGTTTTTGTTTTTTCGAATCTGTGTATTTGAATGTATGAATGTAATTGAAAAATTGAAAAATTTCTTTCCGGAGACAGGAATAAGTGGTAGTCACTTGGAGCTAGCTCTGGCGAATAGGGAGGATGGGGCAAAAGGTCTCATCCAAGGCTCAATAATTTATTTCTAGTGACCAATAGGGTGTGGGGCCTTGCGTTGTCTTGGTGGAACGCAACACCCTTCCGATCATTCATAACCCTTCTTCTAATTCGATGTTATTATATCCGTTAGAAAACTGAATTATTGCTCTTCAAAGCCGTATGAATGTTTTTTTTATTTAATGTCTACATAAGGAATAAATAAATAAAAAACTTATAGGTTTTTATCTCCAAATGTAGTTAGTCCTGTTGATATATTTTTTCCTTTATATGACCCTAAATTCCTGCTAAATTCTTGTAGATAGCTAAAATCTTATTGAAGTTACAACATCTTTTGTGATTTTCGATAAAGAATCATGTGAGGGACCCAAACATTAAGCCTGAAAACATGGCCGAGCTTGTGCAAATGGTTTTCTACGCTTGTATGCGACACATTTAGGTTTGTGCCATAGCAATCTCTCGCACTGATTGGTTGAGATTTTGATCAACAATGGTCTTAACATTGCTCGTTTCACGTGGGCAACCAGACCGTTGTGCATCATTGATGTCAAAATTTCCTTTATGAAATTTGGCAAACCAACTTTTACAGGCGCGTTCGGTTAAGGCATCATCCCCATAAACATTACAAATTTTTCTATGAACTTCTGCTTACCTTTTTTAAAATAATACAACAAAATATGCCTATGATGAATGATATTTTCTTCCATATTTACAGTGCAATAGCAAACATAATACTAAGCTAGTTTCAACAAGAGTTAACAGATATAGTTGTTGACATATTACAAACAGGATAAAAAATCCACCCTAGGGATTAATTCATCAGATAAGAACTGTATCATAGAGGCATAAAAATAAACAGAGAAACCGAAAGGACTTATTTACCAACCCAATAAAAAATATTTTTCTTACTTAACTCACCGAGACTTAATTTAACCAGGATACCCAGCGGTATGCAATGAACCTCCTGAGTGATTATAAAAATGAATAATTATTATTTCATATGTATTATATTATAAATCATTTTACTTGTATGATTATTATTTATCTCTTATCTTCAGCAACCATATGAAAAGCTGGGGTTCTATAAACCTCTCTTTAGAATTATCTCACAGGTGTTTTCCTAATATTTAGCCTACGTTATTGATTTTGGTTTATATTCATTGATATAAATATGAAGAACATTGAATTTGTTAAGTCTTCTTATCCGCTTTAGGGCAGCATACATAAATTTGTATACATTTGCATTTATGTAAATTTTATGATTTCTATCCCTTACATCTTCGTAGTTATTATTCTTATTTTATTCAGTTTTTAGTTGTAAATATGCATTTTATGAAATTTTATATTTATTCATAATTATCATTCTAATATTCAAAAATAAAAATATTAATACTTTAAAGTGATTTAAAATATTAATAAGTTTTAAGTTATTTTTTTTATTGAGTTTCTTTTAGTTCATGTCTATCCATTTTCTGTTATTATTGGTGCCTTTAATTGTGTTATTTTCCTTTTAATACGAAAGATATTTTCCTTTTATCTTTTATGGATTTTCAATTATTTAACTCGTAGACGTTAAAAAAAGTATACAGACTATATACTTTTTTAACGTATATGTTATAATTATATATATATATATATATATATATATATATATATATATATATATATATATATATATATATATATATATATATATATTTATATATTTATAGATTTTCATGTATATCTTTACTGAATTAAATGAGAATTTAATCTGAAACTCTTACATATATCTACAATTGTATCCTACGCACCACCCACTTCCCTCTGCTATGGAAACACTCCACTATTATCCTTTTCCCAAAACCAGGCAAACCTCCCAATATCTCAACATCCTATAGACCAATTAGCCTACTCCCAATCCTTTCAAAAATTTTTGAAAAGATCCTTTTGAAACGAATCCTACCCATTATAGAATCCCAAAATATTCCTTCCCATCAGTTCGGTTTTCGCTCCCAACATTCTACTGTTCAACAAGGACTCCGAGTTGTTGATCATATTTCCTCAGCTCTAGAAAACAAGGAATACTGTTCGGGTGCATTTCTGGACATTGCACAGGCATTTGACCGGGTATGGCACTCCGGACTGCTCTTCAAGCTTAAAATCCATTTACCTCAGTCCTTGTACCTAGTCCTCCGATCCTACCTCTCTGACCGCTCCTTCCGAGTTCGCTGTGGAACAGAATTTTCCAATATCTACTCCGTTAAAGCCGGTGTTCCCCAAGGCAGCGTCTTGGGTCCCGTGCTTTACATCCTCTTTACTGCTGACATCCCTGTTCATCCCGATACTTTTCTTGCAACATTCGCTGACGACACCGCAATCTTATCATCCAACTCTAATCCCAACATAGCATCCTTAAATCTCCAAAACCACCTCACCTTGATTGAGCACTGGTGTAATAACTGGCGCATTAAAGTTAATGAATCTAAATGCCAACATATTACCTTTACACTCCGACGCAGTTCCTGTTCACCAGTACACTTTAATTCCATCCAGCTTCCTTACTCAGACACAGTCCGGTATCTTGGCTTTCATTTAGACCGAAGACTAACGTGGAACCCACATACTAGACTCAAAAGACAAGAACTCAACCGACGATACGGCCAGCTATACAGACTACTAAACAGAAAATCCAAACTTTCTATTGAAAACAAATTACTTATCTACAAGACAATACTGAAACCTATATGGACATACGGACTTGAACTGTGGGGGACAGCAAAAGCTTCTAACATCAAACGTATTCAATCCTTTCAATCTAAAGTCCTTCGAACAATAGTTGATGCTCCGTTCTATGTAAATAACAAAATCCTACACCATGACCTTAATATCCCATTTGTCCTAGACCTTATTCCAGAAAAATTCTCCAAATTTCACCAGAACCTTACCTATCATCCAAATCCCCTTGCACAATCTCTATCCAGCACCACCCATCCTTACAATCCTCCTCGAAGGTTGAAGCGCCAGTGGCCCAGAGACCTTCTGTAAATAAGCATCTATTGGAGTTTTGGCAATGGCCAAATCCTCCACTCAAGCCCGAGTGTGTATGATTAGGTTAGTTCTTTTGTTTATATACATTTATTTTATTTTATTGTATTTATTTTTATTTTATTTTATTGTATTTATTATTATTAAGTTTCTGTATTATTATTATTTTTTTTTTATTTATTGTAAATAGAGTGTGAGTGTGTTCTCTGAACACTATTACAAATGTCCTTGATGTGACAGAATGTGATATTTCTAAATAAACAAATATAATAAATCTGAAACTGGAACACAGAATTCCCGCACTTTGCTCCAACTTCTAGTCGGTGGTCGTTTTGAAATATAGGAAGAGTAGGCGAGGAAAATTCGTTTGCTCAGGCTCAAGAGAAAGTCATGGACGGAGTTGGCAAAATTGGCATTGAATCATTTAGGCACCATCTCGCACAATCTCTGAAAACTTCATCAAAATCTGATTACCAGGTGTTATGCCCTCCCATCACATAAATTTAAGTACAGACAGACACGGAACCGAATTTGTTCTGTCATGTCTGACATGTAAAACACAAAAGCAATTTTGTAAAAAAAAAAATGTTTTTATCTTCTCGCATAATTTTTCCTTAACCTAATAGCGGAATGGAAATAAAAACCTTTAATACATTTTGCAGTGAGGAAGTAGAAACTTATGTATTTTTCTATTTTTTGTTGTATAATGTGGATATAATTCTAGTTTTCTTGTACGCTACACAATTTAAAAAAAACAACTAAAAACTGTAAATTATTGAACAAGTAAGGGAATAAAATCAATTTCACATACATCATTTTTCGGTTTTAAGGAGAGTTCGGTGTAAATTATAATCGAACTATTAAAGCTGAATTCAGAAAATTGCGGCTACGAAAAGAAAATCCATTCGGTGAACTTCGGCAATAAAAAAGTAATTCACGAACAATCCCGGTGGTTTCATTCCCTGATATTCAATCTTTTATGGTTTCTGTTCGATCCCAGAAAAGAAAACACGACCCTTACTTTCGCCTTAGAAAATAACGCAAAGAAATCATAAGAAATTCACAAACCACATATGTATATTTGCCATCTCGTTATAAGATTTTTATTCCTGGGTATAGAGAAAATGTTTGATATTTTATATGATTTTTTTGTTAATATTATATTTTCATACAACTTTAAATAAGAAATAAAATATGAATTATCCTGTCTGTTTTGAAGGTTATCTGACAAATAATCAGGATTTTCAGTCAATATGTTTATTATGGTTACCGACGTTTCAACCAAACGAATGGCCATCATTAGGGCTATAATTAACATTAAATCAGAAATATAGCATAAATACCCAAAAACTTAAATAAACCTTTTTTTTGTTACATTTTTTTAAGATAGTAGACTTAAAGAGCAACAAAAGATTCTATATAGACCAAGTTCTAATTCCCGCCCCATGGTAACTAATGGATGAATCTATTATCCCCCCAGTACGAACCATCTGGACTTTCCAAGGAAGACCAGAAGTTAAGACCATTCAATCGAGGAAGCCTTTTGATCCTAAATTCTATCTGAGCTTGTAAGTCGAACCTTAGTGTCCAGTATCGGTCTCAATCTACTATGCAGCGTGGAGCAATCTCTGTTGGTTATCCTCATTGCTGCCAAGTTTCCTCAGTAACCACTCCACAAGTCTTTAGATGTCTTCAAGATTGCAATGCTCTATGAGTACTCCAACGAATAATCGTAATTCCCTTATTTTAAGAGGTTCGGAAGGCTTCTTTATTTAATCCTTGGTCCTCCTTGGTCTACCTTAGGCCATTAAAATATCTCTATTTACCTAAACGAAAAAACATCGCTGATGTTTGGTGATATAAATTAAAATGTTTTTATTATTTTTACATATTTTTTATAAGTTAAAAGTGTATTGTAGTAATTAATTCAATACAAAGCATCTCTCTTAAAAAATAAATAAATATCAGGTTTGTAATGATTTATTCTAATTTCGCTGAAATACTTATGATTTAATTTAATTCCAGATCATATACATTTTTTTACAAAACTGGAGGTCAGTATCATGTTATATGGACTTAAAATTCATTTAACATGGAAGTTTTTCAGAAGTGAAATATTTACACTGAAGCTAGATAAACATATCTCAAATAATCTATGATTTCATGAAGAGCAGAACTTGGGATAGTTGAGCTGCTTAAAAAATCCATTGAAATCGTTCTAACTAAAACAACCTGTATTTTAATGGATTTTGGTATAGTTTAATAATTATTTAACTTAAATATTTTTTTTTAGTGATCGCTTCCTATTCAACAAAATATGTGACAAAATTTCCTTTTTTTTTTTTTAATTGTTATTTATTTTATTTTTTAAGTGAAATCGGTTTGGAAGCCATTAGAGATCTTATAGCTGAGTATCATTGTGATTTGTATTTGTTATTTACAGTAAGCCAGAGGCTATGTTGAAATGTTTTGCATTCATGATTGTTCCCGAATCGCATAGATTACAAAGAGTCTGTCACTCCTATGCTATGAAGATGTTTCTTTAAGTAGTCATAGTCAGAAATCATACGTAATATCGCCACAGCATCCATTTTCGGTACCCTGTAAACTGGCACCCTTTGATTACTGGTACTTCGAATATTTCCCAACTATATTTATTCTTAGAACTTCCTAGAACATG